TGGCAAGTAATGGTCCATTTTCAACTCGACAAACTGTTTGTCTTGTCCCCGCAGGTGATGTCAGCGGGGATGCGTTCGATCCAGCGTGTGCGCCATTATCATTATTATTTCTTCCTCGCGCTGGTCGTGTAGTGTGTCTATCAAAATTGCTTTTGCCCCTTTACACAGCATCTCTACATCACAGCGCAATCGTCAACATGAAGGCAGTTGGGGTAAAAAACGGCAAAGGCAATGCCGATGCTCTCTTCATCGAAGATGGTGTGCCTGATCCTGTTCCGACGGGCAATCGCATCCTGGTTCGCATTAAGGCATTCGGTCTCAATCGCATGGACATAATGCAAAGAGAGGATCGCTATCCATACCCTTTATTGCCCGAATCGGGGAAGATCATGGGAGTGGAGTTTAGTGGAATTGTAGAAGAGAAGGGACCAGATTGTGAGCTAGTACATTCATCATTGCGAGAGCATTATTTGACAGTCACAGGCTCCGGGGATTTCCAAGTGGGAGACAAGGTGTTCGGTCTTGCATACGGGGGTGCAGTAGGTGACTGTTCACACCGTTCATAAAATTGCAATTGACACGATATAGTATGCACAAAAGATAGCTGTGTCGGAGAAGATGCTCATTCATCTTCCTTCTACACTGAGTTTTGAAGAAGCTGCTGGTATCCCGGAGGTAGGATTAATTATCCTCACTGCATTCACTTCCACCCAACTGACCAGACAGACCTCTTTCACAGCTATCCAGGCCATTCACCTAGTCGGTAACCTTCAACCTGGCCAGTCGGTGCTCATCCATGCTGGTGCCTCTGGAGTCGGTCAATCTGCTATCCAGATCGCCAAAGTCGGCGGAGCATCGAAGATCTTCACGACTGCTGGGAGTGACGAGAAGTGTGATTTGTGTCGCTCTCTTGGAGCGGATTTTGCGGTCAATTATCGCTCCGGAGAGGACTTCTCAGAAGTGGTCAAGCGGGAGACAAATGGACGCGGGGTGGACCTGATCGTGGATCTCGTAGGACGGGACTATTTTCACCGGAACATGGCCTCGGCAGCCATGGATTCTCGCATGGTCCTAGTTGCAGCTTTAAGCGGGAGCAAGGTGGATGACTTCGATCTGCGTGCATTGCTCAACAAGCGAATCTGGCTGATGGCTACAACGTTGAGAACAAGAGCCGCTGATTATCAAGGACAGTTGCGTGATCTGTTCTCTGAGAAGATTCTACCCCATATCAAGTCAGGCGAGGTGAAGACGACGGTGGATAAACTGTTTCCATGGACTCAAGTATCGGATGCCCATAAGCGCTTGGAGTCGAATGTCAACGCTGGGAAGATTATCTGTCTGGTTAATGACGACTGAATAGATCTCACGTATAGCTTACAGATATGGTCAGATAGGTGATGTGTATATAACTGCCCGTTGTACTCATGACACAATTACATAGAAACGGTAGCTGAGAGCGACACAAACTCTGAACTGGATGTTAAGCTAGAAATGGAGATGAAGAGACTTAAAGGAAACTGCAAACTGTACGCAAAGACCGCTGGCAGAAGCATAGCCTCATTACTAATCAAAATTTGACCACAAATCGACCGTCGGCCTCTCCTCTCTCGAGTGCCTGCAGACATGCCCCGATGTCCTCCAATCGCACCTTAACAATCATAGGTTTGACTCGACCATCGCGTACATACTGCAGTGCTTCGCGCGTATCCTCCATCGTTCCTGTGCTACTGCCAGTAAGGCGTACGCCACGAGCCACGAAATATTCAGGACCGATAGGGAAGTGCATCTTGTTTGGTGCTGGAAGGATATCAGTACATGTGGTAGCAGGGATGCCTCACGTAGCTTACTGATCCCAATGCAGACTATGATTCCCATTTTCCGGACGTATTGCAGGGCCTGTTCATAAGCCCTACTACTAGAGCTAACTACAATTACTCCATGAGGACCTCCATCAGTAACACGGATGACATCTGCTGTGAGATCCTGCAAAACGTCCGTTAGCCACATTCTGCCTAGGCCAGCAGTCTGCGTACTGGTGTCTCCATGAAATCAATGTATGAAGTGACTCCCAATTTGCAAGACAACTCCCGTTTACTTGGGCCTGTGTCAATCCCAAGAACCTGCAGCCCGCTCGCTTTGGCGTATTGTATTGCCCTGGTTGGAGGTTAGCATTAATGAATCCATGGGATCATGTCTGAAGGACATCTCACAAATGGCCCAGCCCGCCTCCAGCTCCAATGATTGCTATCCACTGCCCAGAAGTGAGGCCGGTAGTACGAATAGCTCTATATGCCGTTGTGCCTCAAATTCCCGCTATTAGTTAGCATCAACACGCTCGCATGGGGTCTTCCCCTCATACCAGCACACAAGGTCGGCGCGGCTTCAGTTGCAGAGATATCTTCAGGGATGCGCATGAGATACTTCGAATTGACGATTGTGTATTCTTGCATGTTTCAGTTAAGGTCAGAACTTGGGGTCTGGGTTGGTGATGAGATAATACCTCCCCAGCATCCCTCAACATCTTTTCCACTAAGCTTTCTCGAGTCGCATAGCTGCTCGTTCCCTTCCTGGCACATCTCGCAATTTCGGCAGACATCAAAAATCCATCGATGAGCGACTCGGTCTCCCAAGCGCCACTCTGAAGTATCTACATCCGGCCCGAGAGCAACAATACGCCCAACACCCTCATGACCACAGACGTCGACCTCCCGTTGAAGGTAAGGAATACTCTGTCTCACGAGATGTAAGTCTGTCGCGCAGATACCGGTCGCTTCAATCAATACCACAACCTCCGAGTCATTTGGTGTTGGCACGGGGCGCTCTTCAACTTCGACATGTTGGGTATCAATACATACAGCCACTTTGCCAGTAGAGGGAATATCAGTACTCATGTTGGATACTCCTATGTGTGTCAAGTCAGCGTTCACCTTTGTTTGGCAAGATATCGATGTCAAACAACCCCTTTCTGAAGCCGACCCTCGGGTTGTGAACCGTAGGGAAGCAGCCATCCGCCTGATATGGAGCCGAGGAGTGCGGGGTCTCCGCAACTACTGGAGTATTTCAGGTATAGTATTCGGGGACAAGTGATCGACAGTCAATCAGGTTGCGAGCTTCGATTGTGACAGCCGGTAGCAAGGTGGAGTGAAGACAATGCATCGAAATCTATGACCGTACATTGTATTATTCAAGTTATGGGAAGCATATTGTCAGTTGCCTTCACTACCTGGCCATATCCGGATATACTGCTTGGACCAAACCTGCGCACCGAGCCTATCTTAGTCATGCAGTGGTCTACCGAACGAGAAGTATGCTTTGTTCTTCAATCTAAGGATATGCCTTTGAACATATGAGGATGAAACGGTAGTTCGCGTATTTCATAACTTAAGCCCATCGGCATGTCCTCTACATTGTAGCACAGCTTCTCTGAAACGTGGCTCTGCAGTGGCCTCTTCCATCCTTTCAGCATCGTGGCTGAATAACCATCCTCGGCGAAGCTCGTATCCCCAGAAGATTGGACTAGACGGACTGTCCTGTCGCATAAGCTCATCTCGCCAGCACTGCTCCTCACCGTCATCAATATGTAAGATGTATTGGTGCTCTCGCGTCTTAGACTGAATCAAAGACGCTCTAGGGTTGCGGATACGCTCATAACGCTTTAAAGCAGTCGTGATATCGGTATCCTCGGCCAGAGCCCTGCGAATTGTGGCAGCATCCTCAGCTGCCTGAGCAGCTCCTTGCGCCAGATACGGTAGCATGGGATGGCAAGAATCTCCCAAGAGGCAAGCCTTGCCTGACGGATGGGTCCACGTGGAAAGGGCCGGAAGGTCGCATAATCGCCACTTCATAAAGGACTTTGTCAGACGACATAACTTCTGCACCCGGGGCTCCCATCCGGAAAATCGCGCGCAAAGCTCCTCGTTATCACCCTCTACCACCCAAGTCTCGTCTGTCGTCTCTCCTTTCGATGTCGCACACACTACTATGTTGTACAGCTCACCATCTCGTATGGGATATCCGACGAGGTGGGCATCTGGCCCGCACCACGACGTTGTTGCCGGGTGCGTGATGAGACCAGCGAGATCCGGGTCGGCCAGAAGATCCTGACCAGGTATGAGGATCCGATATGCGGCGTCTCCCGTGTCTCGAGGACGGTCTGGCTGACTTGTTAGGAGAGGTCGAGCAGTGGACTTGATACCTATAGATTCCATCAGTCCAGTCGTCCATCAGTTTGGGCAGAAAAGCCTACCATCCGCACAGATGATGAGATCAGCCATCCATTTCTCGGATTCTGCCGTGATAGCCATTGGAACGCTGAAGTCGTAGGAGGTCACATGTCGATTCTTATGAACGACAACTCCGGCTTCGATTGCGACCCCTAGTAAAGATGCATGCAAATCGGCTCGGTGAACCAGGTAATATGGTTCACCATGACGTGGGACCATGTCTTCGAATTCGATCTTCGTTATTGTCGAGCCATCTTCCCAACGCAGAAAATGGTATCCTCGACAAAGGCATTTTCGCATTTTGTCAAAATCGATTCCCCATCGGCGGAGAAGACGAGTGCTGTTGGGTGGGATGCGGATACCCGCACCAGCCTAATTGTTCGCGCATTAGCTCACTTTGCTCGAGGAAGAAGTGAACGGCTTCATCTTGCCTCTTTGAATTCAGCAGAGGCATCAAGAAGAGTTACTCGGTGTCCATCTTGCCGCAGAGCCAAGGATGCGAACAGACCACCGAGTCCAGCACCCACGATCAGAATGTTCAAGGGTTCAGATTTCAGAGACATTGTGAAGTTACGAGGGCATCCCACCGTGAACTTCTACAGTACGTATCTGTTGCGGCCTTATGAAGCATCTCATGGGTGAGCTATATGCGACGAACTGCAGCACTGATCCGCGTCCTGGACTCAAATCCTCGGACCGGGGATGTATGCATCCGGAGTCGAAATGTCACCCGAAAGACTGCAGCATTTGCGCCTCGCCATTGTGGCTCGTCTGCCAAGATTCAGGGGTCTATAACTCCATCAGCTGGCTTTTGCTCCGACTATGACACACCCGGATCAAGCCACCAAGTCGCTGCTTGGGGTAGAATCCGTACTCTCTCCGCCTCGCCTGCTATCAGGGACATTCTGCGCCTACGAAATGGGTACTGTCTGCTGTTGTAAAATATCTTTGCTAAGCAATTCCGTAGGTCGATAACAGAAGTACCTTGTCATGTTCGTTGGGAAGTCACACCACAAGTGGGCATGGACTTTGAGATGTATCAACAATCCTTCTTCACAGTACGATCCTACTTTTTCAACCCAGGTGGCTCCGACAAGACTATACTTGCCATGCGACATCACTGATTTGACTAGACAATGCCTGAAGGGTGTCTCCGAGGCGGATTGTTGACTCCTCGTGCGTAGGCTATGCGTATTGATGGATTTTCATTCATTTCTACTCTTGTTAAAGTATAATCAGGGGGCAGATTGGCTGCCCTTCCTATTCATAATAGATTATATCAATGAGATGGTTTTCTTTTCTCTTTGAATTTATCGTATTTTAGTTCCTTTTATTTCCGTTCTTCTTTTCCTTTATAAGGGAGGAGTAACCAGCTCTATGTGATGTATCCTTGTTGAACATGACAGGTGCCAGTGAGCTTTCATGCCCGCGTTGAACAGACTGAAGAGCTCGATACCCCAGAACAGGGTAATGTAGAGCGTAGCGGAAGTGTTATCTGATAATGGGAGAAGTAGTGATAATATCCATCACTGCTGGGACGCCAAGCTTGGAAGCTTTGAGTGAATTAGAGGCCATCCGAGGCTCCGGCTGCATGTATCCGCCGATCCCCCTCCCTGTGCCGAGCGAGCTCAACTGTCATATCCTTCAATTGGGATATCACCCACCACTTCGAATGCTGTCTGCGGATCGATTCTTCCTGAACCAGTCCACTCCCCGAGGATGGAGAAACGTTTAGCTAGCCGTCGCGTTCCTGATGAATTGCGGAAACGTACATTCGCGAGCTGTGACACCTGCCGGAAGGCGAGTGGCGAACTTATCCTACCTGGCTTACTTTTTTCCAGTCACAGTTATGCTAACAAGCATGCTTAGCGTCGTTGCAAATGTATCCGTCGCGGAAGCTCAGATGAGGACTGTGTCGCCTGCCAACGATCTGGCATCCCGTGCGTATCCAGCTACCAGCGAAAGACACGATTGTACGGAAGTGTCGAGACCATCCGCGATCGGTATGCCAGGTTAATCTTCCCTCAATCTACTGTATGGCCGACTAACTATCTTGTAGGATTCACTGTCTTGAAGCACTTGTGAAAGGGGCCTTTCCGGGCGAACCCATTAATAGTATCCCTGCTCTGTTGGAGCTGGGCCGGAAAGCCGGCTATGAAATGCCCAAGCTGGACCTCCCACAACTGACCGGGGATGAGCAGCGCGTTGAACTACCGAGGCCAGAAAATGCTAATCATACGCTGGCGTACGATGGCAATGGTAGCGATCAACGTGGATGTATTGGAACCAGCCAGCGCCCACCACAGCTGGTCAAAGACAGCCGAGGCCAAAGTCATTACATTGGGCCGTCAGCATCCCTTGCATTCTTTGCCGATCTCCGCAGCCTAGTATCGGAGCAACAACCGTCCTCTTGCTTTGCTGCAGATACTTTGACGGAGTCTCTCGAGGCTCGGCAAAGTTCTAGTACGATGTCAACGTCAACTGTTAATACAAATCTAGCGCCAATTACACGCGACCAAGAATCATCCCTTGTCAAAGAACAGCTGCAAAAAATGCCCCGAGATCGTCTGCTGGCAATAATAAATGCCTTCTTTTGCACTGTAAATGCAGATTTCCCACTTCTGGACAGGGGATGCTTCTCTAACAAGCTCGAGTCCTACATCTATCCCATCGGCTACATAGAGGGATTGGATGATGGTTGGGTGGCCTGTATCCATGCTGCTCTCGCCTTCGGCTGCTGGATCCTGGAGGATGACGCTACATTTGAAGCCGATGAACCAGCCATGCTAAGATTTCGCTGCTGGAACCTCACCCGGGGAGCTTTGGCCAGCTTGTTGACCACATGTACAGTCTCTAATGTCCAAGCTCTTTTGCTTATGGCACTCTTCCTGCACAACAACAATGATCGAAATGCAGCGTGGACCCTAACAGGTAGTGCTGCGAGAATTGCTATTGCGTTGGGCTTGCATCGGAGCGATATTGACGAGAGCCTTCGTCTAACAGAACAAGACTCCCGAAGGCGAGTCTGGTCTACATTATTCACGTTTGAGCAATTTCTCTGCTTATGTTTGGGACGCCCAAGTGTAATCGATGGTCGGGAAGTGACCCTGGGACCTTCACCCGAAGAATCTGCTACTGCATTACCCAGTCATCCCAGTCATCACCAGGTGGCCACTGACCTTCAACGACAAGTCAATCGACTCCGCGATGCGATCGCTTTCTTGCATCGGCCTACTTCCCCTGTATCATCAATTGATACGCCGGTTACTGATCCAATATCGCTCCTAACGAGGCTGAAAACGTGGGAAACCGAATTACCAACTTATCTTATTATACCATCTGCTATCTTGGATGCGTGCACTATTCCCCGAGTGGCGGTTCTGGAAGCGTTCAATGCTGGATATCCACCGGCCCAACTACGGCCAACAGTTCTCCTCCATTTAACCTATAATAATCTCGTTATCCAGCTTACACGGCCATATTTACTTACAGTTATTTCAATGAGTCGAAGGCATAACCCAAAACAACAGTACCCTTGGGCTACACCTGATAATACTTCGAAAAACGTGCAAAAGGGCGCTGAGTATCTGGCCTCCAGCTGCGTAACAGCAGCGATGCGAAGTTTTAACCTTCTCATCCTACTCGATCATGCCAATAGGGTCAATGGGAAAACTAGCCTAGACCTTTTTTACGGATACTCGGCTGGGATGGTTCTGCTCCTCCGTCAGCTGTGGGTCATGCCCCCGGATCTTCCCAAGTCTATGTGGCAGCTAGAAGACGCAGCTCAGCGTGATGTTCAATGCCAGGTGGCAAGGTTGCAGTCCCTATTGCAAGAAAACGCGAGGTGTCCGACCATGCAGAGGTTTAAGTCAGTGCTTCAAAAGTTCGACGAAGCTGTTCTTGCGAACGGGCAACTTCGGAGGCGAGGTGAGAATGATAAAGTTGCATCTTTGAACTTGGCACAGGAAGGCATCGAACCTTTGGAGATCTCGCAGTTACATAATCCTAACAGTAGCGACCAATATGGCACTATGTTAGGTAGCCCAAGCCTGTGGCAAGATTCCCTGCAAACGATCACGCAGTACAGTCTCGACTGGAGCAACTTTGAGCAATTTCTCGGTAGCATGAATGTGGCGTAGGCTTCAAGGGCTACGTGGATACTTCAGATGAACCTTCCTGAGATGGCAGCTTTACGTCATGCAGACCTCGATATAAAAACCATATTCATTCTGTCAAGACTACGCTCACTAATCCATCAAACATGTCATTTCCTCCAACGTGCTCAATCCATTCATGATCACTGTTAAACCGCAGTCCTGCACGCGACACGGACGTCTGGCTTACTGGTGATCCTACTTAGGCATCCACGCAAAAGTTCAATGTCATAGCCCGGCGGATTTTCTCTCCTTCTTTGATGAAGTCCTCGACGTTGTGTCGTGCCCTGGCCCAATGCTCCCTGTTGAACTGGCAACGATGGTTGACATAGTCGATCTTGACCTTGACAGATCCTCTCTCATCCTCCTCGCCCTCTTCGTAGACCCGGAACATTGTAGACTTGATTACTATGACATCCTATTAGTGGCTGCGTCACCGAAGACAGTAATATCTGCCTACCAGGATTTTCCCTGCCATCAGCACACACTTCCACATTGGTGAAATGGTACTGCTGCATATCGTCTTGCTTGCGTGCAGCAATGATGCGGTTGATGATGCGCAAGACAACGCCAAACTGTGCCGGCAGGTTTTCCTTGGATTCCAGCCGCCCGCGCAGCTCCTGTTCGACCTTCTTGTTCATGTTCTTCTCATCTGTCTTCAGCTCAACGGTAAATTCCTTCTTGTCGGCTTCCACCAGCCTTCATGGCGAAACGTTAGAGACCACTCCGAGAGAATTTACTCCCAGCATGGAAACTTACCAGGATTCGTGCTCCTTGCGCAGATACTGGATCGCCTTGCTGCGATAGTCGGTGCGTCTGACGCGCGATTCGTTGTAGTCGTCAGTTGGCAGATTTCCCTTCTGCATCAATTCATTGACCTGGGATTCAGCGCGCCCAAGTTCAAAGGCGTTCCAGGTCTCCAGGTCATGTCTCAACTCCTGCACTGCCTTGCGATGCTTGTCGGAGACCGGCTGATTGTAGTACATGAAGAGGAGACTAGGGGTGCCATAGTCACCAGTCACATCCACTCCCTCTGGAGCTCCCACAAATATGTGTCCATTATCACCAGACAAGGGAGACACGTCCATTTTTGTGATTTTCTGTAGACAAGACTGTGGCTGGAGATATAATCAGACAAGGTTTCCTGTGATCTGGGAGAGATGCTTAAGCTGTCGAGGGATCGAACTCTGGCATGGCTTCTCAGTGAGCAATGACTGGACTTCTTATAGCTTCGTGGTCCGGACAACAGGTGTGCTATGTTTTGTCGTGTTGTAAAGACTGTGTCAAGGGCTAAGCGCTCATGTTACCATAACTTCCTTAGACTACTGATAGCAGCGGTTCCTACGACATCCGAAGTGATGCAGATGCGTAAGACTCCGCTGCATCCGACATCAGATTATGCTCTCCATGCGCCCAATGCAAAGCAACATTGGCTATTAATCGATAGGTCAGGTGCTTCGCCTGAATTACCTTGGGGCACTTCACTGCATCGTGGAGCAGATGCAAGGTAACCCAGCAAATACACAGGATCCTTCTTAGTTGATTCTAGCTTCCCACTTATAGTTATGTATTTACGTACAGTGGACAAAATTATCCATAATTTTGAAGATCGATAGCGGCTTCAAATACCATTCCCACAATGGCATACTTCCACGGAAATATGAGCAAGTGCCACCGTAGCGAGATAAGTGCGTTGCTCCTCACGCACGCACATTCCTCGTCCACATCCAGTTTGTGGCTTTGACCACGATGCAGTAGACTGGATGTTTCACAGATATTCCAAACCGCGGCGGCCTGACATGGTTTATCTGTAACACTGAAGTCAACTTAAGAAAACAAAGCAGTTTTCAACAGCAGATGCGGAGATATCGCTCAGCCAATCTTGTTGTAAGAGATGTACGCAACGTAACAAGCTTAAACGGCACGACGGGGTAAGTCTTGGCACAGACATCCTCGGGCGACTCGAAACAGCTACTTTATTACGTGGAATGGAGGCCCAAGCTCACTATGGCTAGTCAAGATGGCTTCATCTGATGCACAAAATGCACGGAGTATAAGCAGCTGCGACATGACAGGTTCCTACCACGTCAACCTCAGAGCATCTCAGCTACGACCTTAGCAGGCAAGCACAATTCTGTCAGCGTTGTCTCGCAATTCGCATCAGATAGTCGTCAGCATATATCCAACAGTGCAGACGATGCAGGTCCACGCTCGAATGGCAATGGAAGCGCTCTCTTGGTGAGCGAGAGCCCAATGCACGTTGCATGCTCACCATTGTACGATTCAAGATGACGCTACTGTCATACTCACCAACACGTTGGGGATTGCAAGGTACTCTTGTCCCATGGTCAATCCTTCTACTTGAAGTTGACGAGCCGTGCGGCCAGACGGACCAAGTCTATCGAACATGGTCAACCGGACTTTATGATCCAGATGAGTCACTCCCGTCATCCTGCCATCGCTAGATTTGCAGCTGTAGTCCACCAAGAAACAGCAATATGTAAAACAGCCAGCCTCTGACTAAATCATTGAAGCTACTATCCCTAGCTTCATTGCATCGGCTGACTGTATGAGTCAGGCGCACGTCATGATGCGGAAGTTCTATAACTGGGTATATTTGCCACCGGTGCATGATGGACACTGTCAAAACGAAGATAGTTCACCGATGTGAAGGGTGGGTCCACGGACAAGATCGTCCGTGAGGCTGCAAAGAGCTCGCTCGCTAGATATGAGTCAGGGCAAGATGGGAAACGCGGCCGATTCCGGGGATCCGCCAGAAGGGGGCACGTGGCATGAAATGGGGGGGGAATGGGATCCAGGCCCATTTGGGATCATGGCTAATTTGGCTGGAGCTGTCACCGGTCGGCAAACCGGTCGGATGAACGAGTCAGATCGGCTTCGCGAGCTTCTAGAGAACCTTCGATTTCTCCAGGTTAGGTTCGACAAACTAGACGGGAGGCAATGCCGGAGTGCTGCCAGGAAGCTCCGAAGAACCGGCAGCGGCCATGCCTCAAGACACAAAAACTCTTAACCCAGTGGGGAAAGGCCTCCGTCTGGCCACCAGCCCTAACCAAGAACGCCGAGGGAAAGAAGGCGGAAAAGTGGAAAACCTTGAGAATGGGGAATCTGGAATCCGCCACCGCGACGCTGCATAAGGTTTAGTGGCTACGACAACCCCCTCCGGCCGCCGGATTGCAACAGGAAAAAAGAGGGGACGCAAAGTAGTATTTCCGGGGCTGAGCTTAATTTGATCCTCATGCTTCCCCCAGGTCCGGTGCCGTACCAGCAAGCATTTGCGATATCTGGTGATTCCTCGTCCAATCGAGGTGTGAAAATCGTGCAGGATGTTCGTCGATCATCTTCTGATGGTCCCTGGACTTTTTTTTGGCTTAGATAGAGGCTTTTTGTGCCTGAACGATGCATGGTGCGACCGGTGGAGCCGTGAGGGCGAGCAGGAGCCCGATGTCGGAGCAGGATTCTGCGGGCGGCAAAGTTTGTGTCACACCAGCAGAGATTGCATTAAGTCGGCCTCTGATTTGCCAGGCTGACCCTTCTATTAACTAAGAAAAACCTCCTCGCCATGCGTCAATGCTTTGCAGACTCTGGCCATATATGGTTGACGCCCGCATCGTGCAGGTGTGCCTGGGTTTAGTTCCGCTACTCCCTTTATCTGGTGCTGTTGCTGCTGTCGCTGAGACTTTGAGGGATTCGAGACGGGTGCTTGTTCAACACTTTATATTCCCATCCATCTCACCCTGCTCGAGGAGTCAGCCCTGCCAACCAACCCGTCCCTGAAGAGCAACCATGTCGACCTTGGACGTGAAAGATATCGAGAATGGACCGGGTCGCCGGGTCGAAGAAGATGGAGGCATGTGGGAGAATGATATCGTGAAGACACCTTCCGTGGAGAAGGACCCCTTTGGAAATGAAGCTGTTGGAGAGGTTCACTATAAGACTCTCGACTGGTGGTACGTTTGGACCCCCTGAACTATATACTACTGCACCGTTTATATCAGACGGCATATACTCTTCATGGCAGAGACTGACAAATCATTTTTTTTTCTCGATTATAGGCAATCTGGAATGCGTATGCTGCTCCACTGTGATATCGTCTCCTCTGATCCATGTAACTAACCATGACTTTTTGTCTGCAGTGATGATCGCCGAGACTGTGTCACTGGGTGTTCTGTCTCTTCCCTCCACCGTGGCTGAGGTTGGCTTGATCCCGTAAGTAGTATACGATCTTGTACCGTCTACATCGTCACCCAGTCTGTTGCTAACCAGTTATGCAATCAGTGCCATCATCCTCATCGTCGGCATGGGCATCATCGCCACCTACTCTGGATATGTCATTGGACAGTTTCGGGCCAGGTATCCCTTCATCCACAGCATGGCTGATGCCGGCGAAGTCTTGTGCGGCCGCTACGGTCGCATGTTCACGGAATTCGCTCAACTGGTGTTCTTCATGTTCGCATCGGGTAGTCACTTGGTGACCTTCACTGTCATGATGAACACCCTTACCAACCACGGAACCTGCTCTGTCGTGTTTGGTGTCGTCGGCTTGGTGCTTTCCTTCGCCTGCTCTCTCCCTCGTACCATGAAGAACGTCTCATGGCTGGCCGTGACTTGTCAGTACTTCATTGTGTCCATCCACAGCCTCCTATTATGCTAACTCTGTAATCCAGCCTTCATCAGTATTTTCTCGGCCGTCTTGATCACCATGATTGGAGTTGCTGTTGAACACCCGCACCCCGCGCCCATGGAGCTCACCCGCTCGACTTCTTTCGTCAAGGGCTTCTCAGCTGTCACCAACATTGCTTTTGCCTACTGTTCGTCTTCCATCTTCCTTTTGTAATCGGTCGCATCTGAGTACTAATCCCTGGTCCAGGCGGTCACCCTGCCTTCTTCGGTTTCATCGCCGAGATGAAGGATCCCAAGGACTTCCCCAAGTCCCTCTGCATGTTGCAGGGCTTTGAAATCGTCTTCTACACGGTCGCATCCGCCGTCATCTATCGCTACGCCGGTCAGAACGTCACCTCCCCCGCCCTGGGCTCCGCCGGTATCGTCGTCCGTAAGGTCGCCTATGGCATTGCCATTCCCACCATCGTCATCGCGGGTGTCGTCCTGGGACACGTTGCCATCAAGAACGTCTACGTCCGCCTCTTCCGCGGTACGGATGTCATGCACAAGCGCAGTGCCCTGGGTGTCGGTGCCTGGGTTGGTCTCGCTGCTGGCTACTGGATCATCGCCTGGGTGATTGCCGAGGCCATCCCTGTCTTCAGCGACCTTGTCAGCTTGGTCAGCGCATTGTTCGCTAGTTGGTTTTCATGTGAGTATTCCATACATCATCGATGTGTCCTTGGCCCCATGAGTTGGTCGCTAACGAATCTTCTAGTCGGTCTGCCCGGTGTCTTCTGGCTGTACATGTACTGGGGCAACTACTTCACCTCTGTCCGCAAAACGCTCCTTACCCTCGCCAACCTGGCCTTGTTCGGTATTGGCGCCACCATCTGTGTCTGTGGTCTCTGGGTCTCTGGACTCTCGATCTCCAGTGACAGCTCTGGCAGCAGCTTCTCCTGCGCCAATAATGCCTAATTCGGGTCATGAGCTACTGCCTCCTCGTGACTGGGTTGTATATATGTATAGACTTGTATTATAGATAGATAGACATTTGATATACCCCTTTGCGTTTGTTGTTCACCACTGAATTCGTACATATATGCGCCAAATTGACATGTTCGAGCTATTTCCCGGTACTATTCCCAAGTCTTACTTGGCTAGTTAAGTCGATATCGGTACCAACGTGATTTTGTTGGCCTCTTCCCTCCAGGTTGCACTTTCTGTGGTGCCCCCAATGCAAAATCAGTATCGATTGCTCAGATCAGCAAATTCCCGACAAAGCTGTCCCTATACTACGGTCGGCACATACGACTACGTACTAGTAACGTTGGATTTATCTCGATTGGCAAGCCTGCGTACTTGGTAATAACACTATTTGTCAGACATGGAAAAGCTGAGGAGGAACTTACTATGTACCAAGTTGGATTTGAATATATATATATATATATATATATATATCTGTAAAGGACACCAGTAGTTGCTCGTTTCATACCCCACACACTCCAGAATTGAAAGCAACCGATTTCAACAGTCCCTCAGCAGTTTGTAACTTAACCAGAAAGCCAAACACAGACTGTACTAAACATCCCCAGCATAATTCACACATGCTCCATACTACGAGTATGATGCAGGTGAGTCACCCACATAATTGCATCTCTGCTTTCACATGATAAAGGCACCATCATCCGAGGTGCCCGGTCAGGACCCTAGGGCCATCAAGGTATCTTTCTTAGTCTCTCAGCCGTTGTTGGATCGAGGATCTCTATTCGTGGATGATGCTACTTCAGGGTCCACTGGAGGACTCTTTCCTTGCGGAGTTGCGACGTTACATCGCCTTCGCGCCATAATTGCCTTGACTGCTGCGAGCGGAAGGTGGCGCGATCGGGGTATGCAAGTGCATAAAGTCTATCCGCTTAGTCATTGACAGAACACAGTACAAAAAGTAGCCTATACGGGAAAACGCATCGCCCAAAACAACGCGATGGCAATCATTCCATTGCCAGACAGGAATTTGGGTTTCGTGATCAGCTGATGCGGAAGGAACGAACGATGCATGACTATATACTGCTGTTCACTGATATAGAACCTCATTTCTCTTTCGTTTCACGCAATGAACTCGTCCCGGAAGTTCTCTGACCCGTCGCTCAATGTCGCCCACGGGTTAATGGGTATATAGGTAGTAAGTAGTACATGTACTATGTGTAATCCCCGAAACAAGGACCAGCACTACTTGAAGTCTGCGAAGAAGATACATCTGTAACCTATGGAAGTTTATAGACATCAATATATGCATAGTCCCGCTGAAGGTTGAGCATGCGATGAACCATAAGTAATGGAAAGGTCTAGCCTCAGCCGTCCAACCTGAACAGTGAATCAAATATTGGCTGGCCCCAATCATTCACTCCTTCACATAACGATCGAACCATGCCACAGCCTGCTCAAATGCTGCTTCCTTGGCGAATCTCTGCCGCGGCTCTGCTAGATTACAGCGGACCGCAAACCCGTGCTCTACATCAGAGAATAAGTTTATCTGAAAAGGAAGACCAACTCTAGCTAGGATCCCCTCACTCTCGTGGCGGTTGGCAGCGGTGAAGACGGGATCAACGACTTGTCCATTGGTCAGCATAACCAATAATGTAGGAGAGTACACAGTTCTGCTCAACTCACTGGCTGCAGCAATGCTCAACGGCCCTTCGACCCCCTCCAGCTCCTCCACCGTCACCATGGTTGGGTGGGCAACGAACCCTGCGTTTAGTTTGCCAGCTTTGAGGTAGCGACACACATATTTGCCGCCAAAACAATACCCGACGGCGCCGACTTGCGGGCAGGCGAGGGTAGTGCGCATCTCCCCTAGTAGAGCATCGATAATAGGATCGACCCTAGGTGGCAGGTGTTGGTTGTACCAGCCCATAATATCAAAGTCGGGCCCATAGTCGACTGGGATGGGATCGCCATGGAAGAGGTCGGGCATAACCACGAGGAAGCCACGGGCGGCAAACTGGTCCGCCATCAAATGGGCATTGATGAAGCGATGGCCATTGCCATCAGTAAGGAACAAGATGGCATTCTTTGTCGACCGATCAGGTGGATAGGCGATGTACGTCGAGACTATCACACAATCAGTGGTGGTAGTGACAACGTTGTCGGTAGTAAATACACACTGTTGGCAAGTTCTTGGATCTCCCCACTGGCCCTGCCCTCGTGCAGATGTCCTGCCATGCAGCATTCAGATGGTGCATTGGAAGTCATTGTTGCGATGGGCCATCAAAGCAATGGCCAGCAACAGGTGCTGAATTAGCCAGTAAGTAATATGGGACGGGAAAAGCATACTGACGCAGGCAACCAGCGGTTGGCGTAATCCTTTTAGCGGAGGTTCAGCCTGTTGTCGGACCCCTGCGGATATTCCGATTTAATATTATTAGTTTTCTCGAACCGGGTTTGTCACATATTGAACCAGTTTTGGAGTTCGAACTGGGCCTCACAGTGTCGAATATGCATGGAGATGCAAAGCCACAATGCCACCTATAAATAGGTGCAACTCACCTGGGCCACCATGGAGGAGGCCACCTGCTATAACACCACAGCCTGATGGCTTTGGACCACGGTACGGTCCGCGGTGCATTGTAGTGGGACTAAATGTCCTTTCTTCGAGACGCCAATGACCCGACCAGCCACTAAGCGATGGACCGGGTGGCAGACTTGCAGGGATCTAAGGACTGGCCGAGCCACCGGTCGCATCCTCAGCTGGTGCACGTTGAGCGAGGGTTTCAGGTAAGCGCCGATATCCTGGCCACTCATATCTCCGCCAGGGAAGATTTGGTGGTGCCTGCATAACCTCCAAGCAGGCAGCGCGTGGTAGGCTGGCTATATAGGCAGCCTATCTCCCCCCGGAAGAACTGACAGGCAGTCCAGTTCAGTCCGGGCCATGCTTCCCATGTCAACAAATTCTACCTCTACCACAGCTATAGTGGATGGCTGGATTGACGAGCCCGATGGGCGTGGCACCTGGTCCATTCTCTCGAGCTGTCTACTGACTATTGTACTATGTTGCTGGACGTCTGTCATGCCCAACATCCCTGCCCGCTCCGACCGATGGTATCATGGCCTACGCGACCGACTGCATTTGGCCTCTCTGGGACTTTTGGGCCCCGAATTTCTGCTTATGCTGGCGCTAGGGCAGTGGTCCTCGGCGCGAGCGTCTGTCAAGGTCTCGAGACCATTCTGTACTGGTCTGCTCAGAACAACAAACGTGGCTAATACCCTCGCCAGGGATTCGAGCGACTATTGACAACGA